TTAATGGAGTTTCAGGTGAATGACTTAACTATTCTTTTACTCTTTATTTATAATAATGCTTAAAATCACTTTGACAATGTTCCAGTAATGTTTAGTATGGATTTTGCTTTTTTTTTTTTGGACCATACCTTTAGATGAACCAATGAGCACATCAGTTAACAGTGAGGAAGCAAACATTGTTACAGAGATAAAAACACCAGAAGAGGCAATATCAGGCAGCCCTGAAGCTCTTGATTCATCTTCTTCTTCTTTCAAAGGATCAATTAAGACCAATTCATTTTTTAACAAAGACACCCAGTTTTCCACTGACCCCAGATCTTCTTCTGGTAATTAAACTCTCTTCCAATGACACAAAAGGAAATCCATAATGTTTTTTTTTAAGAGTGTTAACTATTTACATTGATTTTTATGTGTTTAAGGAAGTGATAATACGAAGAAGAAAAGGGTAATAAAAAGGGTTGTGTATCCATTTGCATTAGTGAAGCCTGGAGGGCTTGAAGGCGACATGAACCTAAACGACATTAATGCAAGGATTCTAATGCCGCCGGACAAGGCCGGTAAGGCACCCAGTGGGAGACTTTGCTTGTAGGCCATGCGTATCTGCCGATGGTCCTAGCCTTTCTGGAAAAACTGTGGTGGCCCTTACTAAAATACACACGCAAGGGAGAGGCACGATCACTATTATTAGAACTAAAGATTAAGGAATTGAATATCTGATACTGCTTGCTTTTACTTCAGTATGGCTCATGCTTTGTTTAAAATTGTATAGGAGGAGAGGTGAATGGATTATGCATGAATGTAAAATAGTCCACTTTTTACAAATTATAATTTCTATTAATTGTTAGATTTTGATGCTTAAATTAGTTGTGTACTTTTATGAAAAAAAAAAAAAAGGATTTGCTCTTTGAATCAGATGGACTGTGAAGAGGAAGCAAGAAAAAATTATGGGTGAAAAGAGGAAAAGAAGAAAAAAGAAATGAAATATGGAAGAAAAAGGAAAAGCCATCCCAAATTATTGTTTCCATTTTTATTGACAAAGAGACCAGCCAAAGCCAAATGCATTTTCCATGGTCTGAATAATCATGAATCTTGACCAAGGGTGTGAAGACAATTGTGCTTGGCCAATTCAGGTTTGGGTCCAAAATCATCCAACATGCCAAGAAATTAAACTTCATTATTACTGTAGGCCACAGTTTAATTCTTTTGCTGTTTTAGGTCTTTTGAGCTTTATAAAAGAACTTCAAGCAATCAGTTGGTAGGATGACTGAATCCATTGTTGTCCTTGCATAATTAATGAAACAGAAACGCGTACGAATCCAACATTGAGTCATCCAATCAAGTCAAAAATTCTGTATCTCAGAAGGCTGCTACAACTCCAATGCCACGTCGTGTAGGCATGCATGGCGATCCCCAGCTAGCTTGCATCCACATAATAGCACAGAAAATGTATCCTGCTTGGACAGGCTACTGTTCCACTACTTTGCTGTCTCCATTGTGACTAAACAATGACCGCTACATTTTCAGGGATACAAGGAAAATGGATATCTTATAAGACTTGTTTTTATAAAAAATAATTTTAAAAAAATATTTATATTTTTTAAATTAAAATAGATTTTTTGTTATTTAAATAAGTTAATAAAAATATTTTTTCTTATTTGGTTATTTTTTTTAAATCTGTTTTTTAAAATAATATTAATATAATTACAAAAATGTTAAAAATTATTTATTATTAAAATATATTAAAAATTATTTATTTTTAAAATATATTGAAAGTAGTTATTATTAAAATTATTAATATTAAAAAATAATTATATTTTAATAATAATATTTAATATTAAAATATTATGTTAATATAAAAAATACTTAAAATAAAACTATTTATTATTCTTTGTATTAATATATTATTTATTAATATATTATTATAATATTATTAATTAAATTAATAATGTTTATTATTATATTATTCTATTAATATATTGTAATATAATATTATTTATAAGTAAAATTATGTTTAAAAATATTAATAAATAGTTATATTCATAGATAATTCTTTTTCAAAAAATATTTTTTATTTTTTAAAATTGTAAGTTATTTTCTTAAAAGAATGACTTTATTTTTTATTAATTAATTAATTTTTTATCAAATAAATATATAAAAATATAAAAATTATTTTTTAAAAATTATTTTTCACCAAACAAACTTAGCCTAAGATTCACTGTGGTTGTTAGCTTTGGCTCAAATTCTTCAATATCTACTCCCTGCTGGGCTTGTTTTTTGTTGTTGCCATTGTCAATCAACACCTGCCCATATTTGAAACTTCACTTATTCCCCACGACAAGAATATGGAAGTTGGGACCCAATATTAAACCTAAAATATTCCAACCCTCCCTTTGTTCTCACCTGACCTTGAATCACCACCATTGCACCCTTTGACTTTTCAAATTATCAGACAAATTGAAGCGTGTTGATGGGAGGCAGTCAGGCAGAGCAACTAATGAGAGTGAGGGATGTCCTTTCTCACAGCTGTAAGGCAAAAAGTCCGCAGCTACGTCGTTGGAAAAAAAAACCCCGGGGGGGGGGGGGCGTGACAAGGGAAAAGGAAATGATGGGGACTTAAGGTTTTGTCTCTTTCGAACATGATTTATGGACTCCATTCAGATTTTCAACAATTATTTTATTCATTCGAACTTTTAAACTTTTAATTAGGTTAAAAAAAAAAACCAAAATTAAGATATTTTCATTCTCTAAAAACAAAAGGTGAGACATTTTAAATTTGGACCACATATAGAAATTATGATTATTATACAATAAAAATTAATTAGTGGCATGCACATGTAACAATGTATTAATAAGAATGGAATGTGTAAGGAGTATTTTTGGATTTAAAAGATAAATTAATTTTTTTTTACATTAAATATTGTCAATAGATAATTAGAAAATTTTTTATTTTTTAATTGATCTAGTATGTATAGTATCTCAATTACATCATTATTTAATTTTATGAACTTTTTATTTTTCGTTAATAAATAATAATTATTTAGATATTATCCATCTATCTATTTTTTATTTTTTTATTTTTTTTCTTGACCCCACCTATTTTAATTTTTTATTTGAGCGTTAGAGTGTAAATATAAATATAAAGAACACTTTTTGCTTTTGTTTTTAACTTTTTTTTTTTTTTGTATGATTTCAAAATTTTCACCTTCAATTTAGAGTTTAGCACTAACACGATGAATGAAAAAAAATAAAAGATAAAAAATTAAAAAACTTAATTTTCAAAAAATATTTTTTTATTTAGAGAAAAATATTAAATATTCTAACCCTATCACTATGCCTATATATTATAAAAATTTCTCATTTCAAATATTCCAACTCGAAATTCTTTGAAAAAACTTTTACATTCTTATTTTCTTAAATAAAAACTTTCAAATTCTGATATACATTTTGAAAGATTAGTTTTCAATGGGCTATAAGAAAGAACAGGTTTTGGGTTTGCTAAAATTTTCAGTGAAAGCCCAATCTAGGCTAGAAGTTAACGTAAGAGCATAATTGACTCAAAAATGGAATTGGAGTCATAGGCCTGTTTATTTGGTTTATGAATTTATTTTAAAAGGTAATATTTAGTAAGTTTAAGGTTTAAATTTTAATATTTGTAAATTTTTATCTTAAAATTATGAATCTTTTTGTAAAATATATATATATATATATTTGATTTGATAAATTTGGTAAATGTATGTATCATTTACTCAAAATCAAATTTAAAAGTTAATTTATAAATTTTACATTCAAATATTTAATTCAATAATAAATGTATTATTTGCTTGAATTTTATAAAAAAAATGTTTATATTTGATGTATTATTAATTTATAAAATTTATACATTGTTAATTAATCAGATGATATATTTTATTAATAAAATAGATAAGATGATAATATTTTTTTAAGTAGTAAATTTTTTAAAAATTATTAATTTTTATGTATTATTTTAAGAATTCATACTTATTCATTAATAAAATAACATAATTTAATTAATTAATAATATAAAATACCTATAAATATATATTTATATACGTACCGCAATGCATCGTATATAATATAAACTCTTATAAAATGAGAATGGAAAACATCATTGCTTTAAGTTTTGCTCAAAGTACGGAGATATATAATTAACTTAAGACTTATCACAAATTGCTGCCGTCATCATGTTCAGTCACCAAAGCTTTACTTTGACTTTGGTCAAAATCTGCACTTTGACTGTCCGTCAAAGCTTTGATTGGTCAAACGAAATCCCAGTTAATGATCAACACATATTTCTCAACTCTGCACTTATCTCTCCAATTATTCTCTCCTGGGATAGAAAAGGTAACGGCTATCACACCGGATTAAAAACCCCTATGATTACCGTACAGTACGGACAAACATTTCGTTAAATATTTTTACGTTAACATCTTTTTTCGCTAATTTCTACGTTGCAATGATCGATAATGGCACATTTAGAATTTTCCCAAAAACTTTAGAACCAGAGAAAAATTAGTACTGTTGGCGAAGCAGAGATTGCTACCCTGTCCTTGCACTTATTAATTTGACAAAGTTTTTTTTTTTAATCAAAATCAACACGGAGAAACAATAAAAAAGTAAGACTTACATCCATGGGAAAAATCAAAATTGATTAGAACAAGAGAGCAAAAGGAGGAAAATAACTACCATGGCTTCCGGCTCCAGTTATTCCCTGATCAAAACCATAGCAAAAACAAATTAAACGGTAAGAAAATCCCCTAATAAGAATGGAAAGAAACTGTTTCCCATATGAAAAAGGAGCCATTGTTGACGTCATGTTCAGCAGAAAGGGAGTTTTCGACTTGTTAAGCTGCCTTCTGCACTTTGAAGGAAACCCATTTTTCCACCTCTTCTGATCTTTTTCCTTTGTTGAATTTTTTTTTTTTTCGTTTTTGTTTGGTAAGTTTGCTAAAAGAATAGCTAGGGAAGCTAAAACTAAGAAAAGGGCAGCTGGAAATGTAAATTAACTATCGTGAAACAGAGGATTCAAGGAGGGCAAACCATGGAATTGGTGCTTCTACTTGTTGAAGTGGTGGGTTTATTGCAGCAAAGACAGGAAGAGAATACAAGTTTGAGGACTCTCTTGAGGACTTGGCCACGTAAAGGAATCCAACGAGGTGCTGCTTTGGCACTTGTTGCGGCTGCTGCACCACGTGGGGGATGTCCTCCTCGAACCCTCGTGGTCGTGGCTGCTTGAGGTTGGCAACTAGACGCAGCCATAATGACAAGTGGGGGTGTTGAAACCTGGAAAGTGGGGAAGCAGGGGCTGGGAAGGATCGGTTGGGTTTGGATTTTGTTGGGCACCAACTCACACGCCGACCTGTTGGAGATATAAAAGCGAAATGTGGCTATTTAAAAGCGTGGGCAAACCGAGTAAAGCAGCGTGTGAAGAAGAGTTCGGTTGGTGGGTTTATAAGTGAATGAAACCGCGCTTATTATTTGTGAGATGTAGACTCGTTCCTCGATGTGGAAACCCATATATTTTTCCCCAAAGCCCCAATCTTTACATCAGTAATAATAGTAGCTTAAAGGAGCGAAGGGGGGGTTACTTTCAACTGAACGCGTCCTCTCCCTCTTCCACTCCCATCGATTTCACAAAATATTCTAAATTCAAGCCAAACACACGCTTTTGCGTTAAAAGGTTAGTTAGTTCTTTTTCTCCTTGCATATTCTCAATATATAATCTTTAATTTTTAAATTGATTTGAAATGATTTGATATATATATTTTTACATCAATTCGATAATATCATTTTATCTCAAAATTTTTTATTTTTCACTTATAAATACAATTATCTAGATATTATTTATCTATCTTATTTTTTATTTTTTATTATTTTAACCTTTAACTTGAGTATTAAAATATAAACATAAAAAATATTATCTATCTTTACTCTTAACGACTCTCTTTCTCTTGTATAATTTCAAATTTTTCATCCTCGGAACTCAACACCAACTGATATATAGCTTTTATTTTGTGGATATGGGTGCAGGTTTCATCACCATTTTGTGCAATACCTGCCTAACAAGTCATTTTCAAAGGTAATTGAACTGAACGTATCGTGAGTGGCAACCACTAGCCCACTTTGGACCCTAAATTTCTCTTTTTTTTTCCTTTTTTTTTATCCTTGTACCTAAGAAATTCACCCAATAATCCTCAATATCACATGGCTTTCTTTTTTTTTTTTTAATTTTTTCTTTAGGGTTGATGGATAATTTCTGCCCATAATGAAGACTGAAGAGAATTATTACTTCTCTAATGAAACTGGTTTAATGGTTTCAACTTTCAAGTCAAATAGCAAGATATGTGTTTACACTGGCAAGTGACGAGTGGGAGAACATTTTCCTCCAAGACATAAAATCAATAGGAATTCGTAAAGTAAAAGGTACAGTGACACGCACGTAGTAGTTTTTTCTTGTTTACACTTCACTTGATTACAAAATTCATTTTACTATATATAATTTAGGCTTACAGATAGTAATAGTTTTTACGTAGTATGTTCGTTTTAGATAAGCAAAGTACTATGTTTTAACCAGATCTATAATTTAAAATACGATATGATAAAATATTATGAACATAATACAAAAATAAGATATGAAAGTGATATGATCTAAAATTATAGTAATAATTATATATGGATTTAACAAAACAAAAAATTATTTTTTATAATTTTTATGTTGACATGAGTTATGACACGTAATTTTCGTGTAAAATATGATATAAATACATGAATTTTAATATTTTACATAATACAGATTTATGAATTATCAGGTTAGTTTTAGCATGATAAATGGAAAAGGAGAATGGTTTTGAAAGTGAATATTATTTTTGATACAAAGAGATTAGATCATAGTATAAGAACAAAGAAGAGATTGTAAATATCAAATATTAAATTTTATATTTATTGTATGATATTTTTTAATGATAATTTAATGAATCAATTGGTATAATTCTTAGGTTTTAAAAGTGATTATTTTTACTTTTGAAAATGAATTGTGACAATACATATTATATATTAAACCTATTCAAAGGCTAAACTATCTTTATAAATATGAAAGCTTGCTTGAAATTTGGGAGGGCTTGTATATAAAATTTTAAATTTGTTGAATGGATTTGAGCTCGAATTTTAGATTTATTTAAAAAATAAGCTGAGCTTTGGGCATGACATTTAAGGCCTAAGTTTAGCCCAAGTAACTTTTATAATTTTTTATATTTATAATTATATTACATAAAAATACATATGTAATTAAGTAATAAATATGTTCACATTAATACCATATGTTTATATGTATAACTTCCATTCAAATATTAAATTAAATTAACAAAGTCATTTTTGAAGCTTTAATTTGTTGATTATTTATTTTTTATAATTAATATTTATAATAAAATTTATTTTTATTTTTATTTTTATTGAAATATGGGTGGGTTTGGATAGGCCTAAATAACTCCTTTTAAAAATGAGACAGGTTAAGACAATAAAATTAGACTCATATTTCGAGCTAAACTTGACCAAACCTAAAGCTTAATAATGTAATATTTCACCTTAATTTAAATTTGATTCGATTTAATTTATGAATAAATTTATTATATATTATATTTAGAAAAATGAATTTAAAATTTGTAGAATTTGGCTTGCATTTTAACACCCCCTTCTCAAATTTAGGAGCTATTAATTAAAAGATGAAATTTTAGTTTGTACTAAGAAAAAGATGATGCTAATTTTTTTTTTCCTGAAAATCATGCGACGGATATTGTTGGAACAAGCTGGGCCATGTTATGGGTTGGATGAAGACAAATACAATGGGTTTCTATTCGGCTCATCATTGCTTTCTTTTCCAAGGTCTTTTTTTTTGCTGGTACCAAAAATATGATGTTGGTTTCTTAAGTTCTAATGATAAGATTTACCCATTTAAAAAAAAAAAAAAAGTGGCTTAGCTTTACATGGTTTGTATTATTTTATACATGAATCATCAGTTTAATTGATAGAAGAGAAAGGCATAAGTGTTGATATTTTAATTTTTGATTTATTATATATATTATCTTTTATAAATAATTATATATTAAACTTTTAGTTTAATCAAATAAATTGTTGGCTAATTAAGATCAATGTGCTTAAAAATATGGTATCTCTTAATATATATATAAGGGATCAATTTATATATTGAAAATTAAAAAAATTATATATATTTTTAATTATTGATTTCAATACATCCAAAAAATAAGATAAAATTATTTTATATGTAAACATTTTAATTTTACAGTAATATAAATTAATCTTTTATATATATATATATATAAGAGGGATTCATTTATATATATTAGTGTAAGTCTTATATTTTTTTAACTTTTGAATTAAAATTAATAAATTTAAAAAATTATTTTAATTTAAATAATCATAAATTTAATTTTAATATAAAAATTACAATAATATAAATATATCTATATATATTGAGACATGTGACCACTTTTAGTAGATGTGATCTCTGTCTTTTGCAATGTCCCATGGGCTTGAAGAGTACCTTTTCAGGTTACAAGCAAATGGACTTGTTTTTTGGATTAAGTGCTTTTCAATGTAGAATAATGCATAAATTAAAGGCTGTGCATCGCATGATTCTTTCTTGTCCGTACCTGTAAAATAGCAAATGCACAAACTTCACCTTTTCTTCCTTTTAGAAGGTTTTGAATAAATCATTTCATCAAATACAAACTTTTAAGTTTCACTTACTCAGAAAACAAATTTTTTTTTTAAAATTTTTGTCGAAAGATTTTTTAGTTATAGAAAACTTAAAAAATGATAGTGTTTTTCTATTTCATAAAATTTTATACATCAATCTCATGATTTAAATTCAACTCCTTTAAAATAAAGATTCAAAGTTTAATAATTTCTTATATGATACATAATAATTTGTTTTATAAAAAAAGTCATTATTTGACAATAAATAAAAAAATTGAAACTTTTGGAATTTAGATCTTAAATATGTTGAATACTACCTTGTGAAAATGATTACATAACCCACTTAAATTCTATGATAGTAATAGTTGATAATTGATAGTTATGCTTATCCACAAAATAAATGGTCATAGCAATAGGCCAAAACTGCTTTCGTTATCTGATATAAATGTTGGTATCATTCAAAGTCATGAACCTATTGAGAACTTGAGGATCGGAAGGTGGACGTCGAGCCAAGTCAAGCACACCTCGTTGTGGTCTGGGTATTGACTACTATTTTTTTATGAGGCCTGTTTACATAAATTTTGTATAAAAAAATATGATAAAGAAAATTAGAAACAAATTACAAATTTATTTATCAAATTTGTAACATGCCCTTGAATCTTTCTTTGCTTCTTTAAACATGTTGACAAAGGTTTCTTGCTTTATTGTTCTTCAGTAATTTTTTTTTTTTAAAGAATCTTTAAAACTCAAAATTTTTTTCTCATTAAAGAATTAATATCATGCATGTTAAGGCTAAATATCCAAGCAAGCTATTAGTTCTTAAGATTCTTTTAATCTTTGCAGCAAATTAACCTGCCATATACACGTCTCACAGGCCATATACATGCATGTTGACACTTGTACTGGATACAAATCTCCAATTAAATATTTATCAATGTTTATTGGACTTGAAATAACAAATATAACAATACAAAAGTAATATATCGTGATAAATCTACAGTAATAAATAACAATTAATAATCCAATATCGTAAGAAAAAATAAAACACACCAAGATTTACTTAAAAAATCTTTCAGTGTAGAGGAAAAAAATCACATACCACTAGAAAAATCTCCACTATGATATACAGTGTTCTTTTCTAGCTAAAATTAGAACTAATCAATAATTAAAAATATAGTTAGAGAAATTTTACCAAATAGGTGACTCAATAAACATATTTTGGATTTATTTATAGAGAGTTTCAAATTCGATCTTCACCATTTAGAATGTAGAACTCTAAATCATAAATCTACTGATAAAATTTTAGCTCAGTCGGATCACAGATTGATTTTCGTTCAACAAACTCTCCCTTTTTTCTTTTCTTTCTATTTTTTATGGCTTTTCTTTTCCTCTCCCTTTCGGCTTGCGGTGCCACTTTTTCACGCCTAAGAGATAGCTTCCCATTTTTTTTTAATATGTAAGCTTTATTTCATGGTCAAAGGCAACAAGGCTTTAAGCCTTTTAATTGGCTAATCAATTGGCCTGGACCCCCCCTTTAACCCCATTACGAAAAGATTCATCACTATAACAGTTTTATTTGGAACTTACTTTGGCCAAAGAACCCATTCCAGCCAAGTTACTGCAGAGTTCAAACTTTTTTCTGAGAAGTGTTTTAGTCAACATATCTGCTACATTCTCATTAGTATAAACTTTTTTTAACTGCATCTATTAGTCTTTAATCATTGAACGTAACTAATGATATCTACTATTAATGTGTTTTGTTTTATAATGATACATGGCATTTTTAATTAAATCTAAAGTACTCTGGCTATCACAAAATATCATATACTTTTTTTGATTTAACCCCAATTCAAGAAAAAAAGTTTCATCCAAAGCATTTATTTACTTGCTTCAATTGCTGCAATAGACAAAACAATACACTTCTGCAACTTAGACTGCCAAAATATAGCTTCTCCTATAAAAGTGAATAAATAATCTGAAGTAGATTTCTTATAATAATGATCACCTGCCTTGTCAGCATTAATAAACCTTTCTAGAATTGATTGTGAAACTCCATAACTCAAGCACATTTTTTAGGTGTTCCTTAAATATTTGAAAATCCATTTCATTGGTTCCAAATGAACTTGTTAGCCTTGAATTGATAAAATATTTCGAAATGACAAAACAAAAAATTTGTTAAATTGAATTCAAATGATTTGAACTTAATTTGAATACTTTTCATCTTTGAGCTAAAAAAATATTTTCCAAATTAGAAAGAAATCTACTCACTACACTAACTGCATAAGCAATGTTAGGAGGTGTGTAAACCATAAGATATATAAAAGAATCAACTATAAAAGAATAAAGAATACTAGATACAGCTAGTTACTCTTTCTTAGTCACCGGACAAGATTTCTTACTAAGATGAAATTGATTAGCAAGTGGATTGCTAATCGATTTAGCATGTTGCATGTTGAACCTACTCAACACCCTTTCAACATACTTTTTCTATGATAAATACAGCTTTTTAGCTCTTTTATCTTCATTAATATCCATACCAAGAATCTGCTTTGCTGGACCTAAATCTTTTATGTCAAAGGACTTCGATAATTGTTCTTTCAACCTATGAACCATACTAATATCTTATCCTACAATTAACATATCATTAACATATAATCAGAAAATAATAAATTTATAATTGAAGAATTTTTTGACAAACACATAAAGATTTGTTGCTATTTTTTATAGTTGTAGCTTACCATAAAAGAATCAAACTTTTTGTACCATTGTCACAAACTTTGTTTCAAGCTATACGAGTCTTTCTTCAATTTGTAAACAAAGTGCTCTTTCTGTTTTACTTCAAAACCCTTAGGCTAATCCATATAAATGTTCTTTTGTAAGTTATCATGTAAAAATACAATCTTGACATCAAGTTGCTCAAACTCAAGATTTAAATTAG